GATAGCGAGAGACAAATAGAAATTTCACGGGCAGTTCGACATTGTTGGGATGTTCATAGGAGATATCCGAGGTGCTCTGATAGGATGGTGAGGTTCTAGACCGCCATAGATGTGGTACTAGGGTCCCCTCGCTCTAATCCACCGGAAATGAGGTAACATTCTATCGTAACTGACCCACCAAATTGAATCACTTCTCGGTCACCCAAAGCCACATAGCTCCACCTTTGCAAACAATCTAACCAGTCCTGGCCGACATTTGATTTCATATCTAACGCTAAAAAAGCGTGGCTGAAGGTCTGGAACAACATATCAAGGGAAACATCACGATACCCTACAGCATGTAGTTTGACAGCAACAATGAGCCAAGCATGCAGCTTGAAAACGGAAAACTAGAGTCAACTATCCCTTTGCCTGGCATAACCCTACACAACCGTCAACTGAAAGGACCTCGACCAATAAAAAGGGGCTACCAAGTGAGGCTTTGGTAAAAGAGGAGAATGCTAATCTGTGACGGGTTAGTTCCCAACTGTAAATAAACCAAGCCGTGTTGGGTTTATTGTTGGCAGATTGTGTAGGGCGTAGTGCTAAGCGGTGCGAAGTATCACATCTCTTAATGTTAGATTCAATACGTAATGACAGTGGAAGCTTTGGCTACGAATACATTCCTAGAGATTTATCTTTGTACTTTTCCTCTAGTGACTACCTGACCTTGGCTTAACGTGACGGTAGACACCGTGCTGTCACAGGAGCTGAGCGACTTGCTCCGCCACGACACAGCTTCTGCTATCTTTTGAAATGAAACCTTACTATTCAACTGTTCAACTCTCGAGATCATATTGTCCAGCGAGAGGTCGACGTTGATTAGCCATATTCATAGACAACTCCGAGGATTGCCTAAAATAAAACACATGACTAGTACATACATACACACTCGTTTATTTCTTGAAAATCCTAATATGGTAGCTTGCGAGCCTCTCAAAGTCTCATATACTAGATAGAAATCTGCTTAATTTATGTTAAGTTGATATCTTTAAAATACTTTCAAGCCCTGCTGTCCCTGGGCAACATGACCGGCACCAATTCTGCAACATTCGACCTTAAAAAGAGCACACCGTCTCTACGAGGCAAAACCATTCTCATCACAGGAGGCGACAGTGGAATTGGAATTGGAAGTAAATAACCTGTTATTTGGCTTTGCTTTCCTCCTTATAAACATTCCTATCGGTAAAAGACGTAGATAACGCTAATGTCACTATTACTGATATCCAACGACAGGCACCTAACGCCTAAATCCGTACCATTTAACTAGACCTTGAATTATTCCCATCTATTAGTACTGCTGCTGCTACTCTAATTGCGCAGATAGAGTGTAATTAATCTTCTCTTTCTTAATTCGGAGTTATAGAAGTGTCACCTGTTTACCGAAGATAGTTCTAAATACCAGTTTAGGATAAACTATCTCAGGAATACTCTATTTGCTAAGCTTTTACTGTCGGTTATTATCTAAACGGCCGAGCCTGAGAGGGGCGCACTGTCCACTTGCCACTTTGTATGACATAGTTAGCTTGCTTATACTATAATGTTTCTCCAAGCTCTATTAAACTTTTATGCATCAGCATCTAACCTCTGAGAGTCTTGGCCTTAATACTTCTGCGTAAAAAAAACTTTAAACCAATGAGTCCCGACAGAATTCTAATGATCGTTTATTTGTGCTATTTTATTGGCGAATTCCTCTGAGGTGCTGATTTGTTGCCATCCAAATACTCCACTATGGCCATCACCAACGAGTTTATTCCAGAAGCTTTGCGCTGACCTCCTTATCTTTTGTATCAACCTCAGTGTCTGCTGTTCCATATTTCTCTAGCGAATTCTTCAACCATCTCATACCCCTGATATCGCAGACAGAATGGTCGAGTAACCCTCCTAGAGGCCGCAGTAGATGGCTGCGAGGTGATGCGAGGAAGCGGCGGCGTGTACAATGAGTGGCCTCACTTTCCTCTCTTGAAACGGAATCCCGCGGCACAGAGTCCTCGTGGTCCCCTTCTGATGTGGGCGTTGAAAGTCCCCTCCAGCCACCAACCACTCCGCCTCTCGATTGATCCAGCGTCTCATAAGGCTTCAGGAACCCAGGTAGGATCGAGTACTCCATGAGCTCAAGGACTATTTGGACGACATCATCCAACTCTGATGGATGTGGGGGCAATGCAGAAGAACGTAACCCAAGAAGCCGAGCCCTAACTTCAGAGGGCAGGTTGACCTCACGATCTCCGTTAGGAAGGATATAGGTGCTCAGAAGGTCTTCCCATAGTTCCTGCAGATAATCGTAATGACGTCTTAGATATTCCCAAGGGACTTTTTTATCCTCGACTATCTCTGCATAACAAGCCCGGTATCTCGATGCATCTTGGATGAATTGAAGGGTTTCTAGGCAGTGATTTCTTGAAAGGTAGGCTATAAAATCATTGAATCTCGAAGGGTCCGAATTTAAATTAGACAAAGTCTCAGGTAATAACGCCATGATAAAATGTGTCTTTGGGATGAGGAACAGCTTGTGATCTAGTCCTCTCGAGCCTCAGGCCTTACCCTTCTTATATGTCAGATACTTTCTTCTCCCTCCATATACTCGAGATGATTTCGGCTGTTCTTTATTGGAGAACTGCGTTCCAAACCCCGCGTCTGTGGCTTTGGGGCAAAAGATCCAACCCGTTTTGATTGGATGCTTGGCAACGCCCAAGTCAAGGCCCCAGTTTATATCAGTCTGTCAAAATTCTGTTAGTCCACTCTCAAAGGATTTCCTCCACGGGTCTTCGAAGCTAAATTTTTAAGCTGTCAGGAGATTACTGTGGCCAATACTCGTGGGGTCACTGGAAGCCACGATGTCGATTGAAAAATACGTCCGATAACCAACCAACACTTGCGCGTATGTCACCACTACCACCACCACACCACCAGCACGACCTATCTTAACGCCCAATTAGCGGTCTCTCCAGCTTCAAAGGCCTAGATGCGTTCTACATGACAAAGGATTGTCTAGGTCGGACCCACTTTATGATTCAGAGCGAAGGGAATTCCGCATCAAGCCGAGACCTAAGATGCATGGCTCTGCAGGTCTTGTAACCCGAGATATCCCGCAGCAAAACATTTTTCTGTTTCATTCTATGAGGGAATTCTCCCAAGCGGGTAATTCTAAACCAAATCCCCTTTCCAAAATGGCCTGATGCCTGCATGAATTGCAGAGGCCAAATCTGACAAAGACGGCGGCGGCCTAACTATCGGGGGTGTTACTGGCCCTGTAATTCTAACCATTGTAATCATTTGCATCCCTACTCAAGAATTATTACCAGAAACGCATAGCGTTTCCATAGGCAGAAACATGGGACGAACATGCTAGACGGTGATTGGTCAAAAGTCAAAAACAGGAAACGCAGTGCGTTTCTGATGGTAATTCTTAATTAGGCAGCAGGTTCGAATCCCGATTTTCATTAGCATGGCTGTATTTAGTATGAGTTTTCCACTGGATTCAGGCCCGGTCCTGTCATAAACACTTGACTAGGATAGGATAGGAAATGCCTGCTCTGATCAGCACCAATCCTCCTATACATGAAATAATATAAATCTAACTCTACACCCGACGAAAAATTAACCCTACTGTGTTCAAAGTGAGTGAATAAAATCAACTCTACTAGAGTTGGTTTAATCATTAGCTACTAGGCAGTTAAGGCGGTGAACGCGATGACCTCCTGTAGCGATGCTTCACCTGATCTGTGCCGGGCTTGGTAGTCGCCTGGCAGAGTAGGCTCCAAACTAAGGTCCTCCAAGCTCAACCCTGCTACCGATATTTCCAGTCCTTCCGCGTCCAAAAAAAGACTCTTCTCCAGCTTACAAGGGTCCACGTTCTGCTTTTTGCTGTACTTAAATTGTAGTCTCGCCGGCACAATTCCCGGACCCATCCATGGTGCTACCTTATCATGATATGAATCAATGGTTTAACCTGGAACACTCGATACCGGAAGATGCTCCTCTTTCTTCTTTCATGGATCAACTAGATATGTTTGGTTTGGGCATGGACTCTATGCCCCAGGCCATCAATCACCTTTCGAGTACTGATTTCTCACCACCAACGGTAGAGGGGGATTTGCATTTCAACTACCCTGATCCGTCTCCCTTTGCTATTACAGCTTCTTCGTATTCACTGCTTTATTTTCATGAAACCCAGGGTGAGATATATCCAGGAGATATGTTGCCTTCTGGTTTACTGGATCTCGACTTCACTCTGTAGAGCGGAAGTCCCGAGTACAACCAGACAAGCGATTCTGTCCCCGATACATCTTGTCCGCCGTTTCTCTAAAGTGGAGCTACAAAAACACACTCATTTTGCAGTACTGTGTCTGATCCCTACCATTCTCCTGACAATATATCCGCGAGAGAGGGTCTACGCTTAGGGACGACGGATGCTCAGAAGTTTAAAGAGTATCCTGTTACCCGATTGAAAAAGAATGAGTTTATCGAGAATGGAAAGTTCCTTTGCAATAATGCGGACTATCAATAGACCTTTGACAAAAACCGTGAGAGGAAGTAAGCCACGGCAAGTTTCCGAGTTTGCTCTTGCTAATCAAGGCTGAAAGTAACCATCTTCGAACACATGAAAAGCCTCTGGCCTGGCTGTCAGGTCAAAGGTTCATGGAGGAAATATTCCATTCGGCATTGCGATATTCATTACTCGCAGAAGATCATCCCATGCTTACAATGTCACGAGACTTTCACAAGACCTGACCACCTCAAGAGATATGTCGAAGAAACGCACAAGGGGAAAAGCAGAAAGCAGAAGTCTTAGCTACAAACTTTCGTTGAAAATGCATACCAAGATAACTATAGGCCTCAATCGTTCAGTGATCCATCATCAGCAGCCTTGAATAAACAACCCCTTCACTGATCGGGTTACCTGAAGTGCGAGGCAGGGATTATGATCCCCACTTTGGTTGATGCCTTCTCCAATCAAGTCAATAACCCAAACCTACACCTCCATCCGATTCCTCGTCACTCTCTCCAGACTCATTATCAGTGTTATCAACAGTCTCATCATCATTGAGATGCGCTAGTGAATCGGAATCTGTAACTTCTATAGTCGTCAGGATATATATGGATGCAAAAGTTACAGTGGTTTTAAATGAACTGACCATCACTTTCTCCATCACCGCTCTCAAATACTTCTCCAACTTCAGAAATTGCGACAGATCCCATGACCGCAGTGATGTTCGTTATCGAGTCTGGATGCCATGGGGTTGGTTGTTGTTGGGTAATAATCTGCTCCTCGACAAGGTTGCTCAGCTCTTTGCTAAGGTTTGCCAAAACACGGCGTTGATCTGGCCAGTACTTGCTCTCCACGCGCTCAGGTAGATCGATAGGACGCCAGTTGAGATATGTCTTTTGATGACATTCGGGCTCCACAAATCTACCAGGATGCCATTTGAAGTATAATTTGCAGCAGAAGCATGCAAGCTTGCTGCAGGCTATGTAACGATCATGTGCCACAAATTTGCGTTGATTTCGATGAAATTCTTCGAGCATTTGGATCTCCGCGTGGACATTGTGCTGTCTTTCCTCGTCGTCAGATATAGCCCTGATCGCATCTTCAAGCCCCAATGAGCCATCTAATTGTCCTAGATAGACTTGCAGGTCCTCTAGGCGTGGATCGTCAGCAGGAAGCATTCTTCTGATTATTGAATCCAAGTTTCTTAAGCCATCTGTCATAGGTATCTTTGCTGCGACTGGGGCTTGTACTCTTCTGATTTCGTAGGAGTCCAGAAGAGGTCTCAGTAATAGCGAGTCATTAACGAGATTAGCAGGTGTGCGAATCTTCTCAGCTAGACGGCCAACGAGATGCTTGACAGAACGAAATGCTTCTGCTGTTCCTTGCGGAGCTACTATCATCTCCTGTCGTAGAGCCTCTAATGTTGCTATCTGAGGAGCGTGGCGAGCATTGTAAGCAGCCCGACAAAGGATTAAAGGGTCGGTTGTGGCAGAGGAGAATTGGGGTAACCAGTCTAGTAGAGCGGCAACTCCTACTTGCTTGTCAGCTGAATGTCTCTTTGTGACCACTTCTGTCTCACCAGGTGTCTGAATAGTGTCGAGATTGGCTGTTAAGTAAGTCTCGCAGAAACGCGTAGCCCGATTTAGCATTCCACGTTCTTTTCTTAACCTTGAAGCAGCAAATTGGATGGATCTAACTGTTAACATTGCTATCAGCGTTTCTCTTTCTGTTTCCGTAGAGTTTGGTTCTCTTCGTAAATCTTCTAAGACAGTAGAGAGAAACGCGACAACGCTATCATTTGGCGACACGTTCGACGCAATCCAAAATACCACACCATTGTCCCGAGACTCAAGAGCTATTGAAGTTGTTGTTTTGCCGCCTCTTTGGTAGTCGCAAAAAAAAACATAAACTTGAAAGAAACCTTCTTCTTGCGCTTTGCAGGTCTGTAGGGGGTCGGGAGACGGCGGTATGGGGACCGTTGGCTCTTTTAAGGATATGAAAGAGGGCAAGGAACTCAAAGAGTCGAGAGAGAATTCTCATGTACTTGTCTAAACGTGGTGGTCCGATACCCATGTTGATGGCAGGATTTGTTGTAATAGCCACTAGAGGACCAGGTTATCTTAACAATGCAAGAGTTGTTGTAAAAAGGGATGAAACCAGTAGGAAGTAGATGTCGAGGAAAAGGCTGCCTTTAAATATTTATTAATCTTTTCTAGTTTCGGGTCTTTGAAGCCCAATCAGGTTTTCTCGTCTGGTTTGGTAGGCTTCCCGCATATGTGGGCAGTCCTACAAGGGGGAGACTTGAAAATAAAAAATCGACTAGTGTCAAGCACATTCGATATTTCGATGGATGCCTGGCCACACATTTACTAACTTTACGACATCGCGTCGCGGCAAGTGAAACCACGTATTTTTGACATGCCAGACTTCTTAATAGAGGGAATATTACTAATATTTCTTAATAAAGTCAAAAATCAAAAATCAAGAAGACAAAAAGGAAGTAAGATAATAGTTTAGTGCCATGAGCAGAGTCGGGAAATAGCTATAGTAAGTTCTTTAGCTCCATCAGACAAGATCTGCCGTAGAGGACTCCACGATCTTGGCACTTCCACATATGCTCAAAGTCTCGACATGATAATGACGGCCGGGCAAGGACTCAAACGCCAGTCCAAATACCAAATTCAGAAGTTGCTCCCAAGCATACAGCCTCAAGTGTTCAAAATCAACTCTTCGAGCACGGCATTGATTGGTAGCATCTTCCAGCTCGGAAGCGACTCAATCAGGGCTATGGAAGTCGGAAGCCCATCCAAAAATGGGCTGGCGGATCATGCGAAAGATCTTATAAATCAGACCGCGGCGATCAGGACATGATAAATGTCGTGAGAAGAACACTCATCGTGGCGACGTCTAGGGTTGCCATCAAATTGCGAATTTCATATTGCGCAACACTCCAAGGTCACCTGGTAAGTCTGTAAAATAGTGTCAAGTGCAACACCCTCATCTTGTGCGTGCCTCATCACGGATATTGTGTATTCAAATGGGTAACCTTTCTCCTCTGAGCTTTTAAAAATCTCGATGCTCCAGGGCCATGCTGGGGTCAGTGTCATGCAACTTATATCGATCCAGCCAGGAATACTGACACGACCAGTACCTTATCCACGATCTTATCTTTGAACCTTGGCAGTGTAGTCAAGAGAGGCTGGAAAAAAAGCTTACTTCAATGAAACGGCAGTACAATTGTAGGGAGATCTTGATTAGTGCAGAAGAAAATGTGCTATATTTTCTTGTCTACATGCTCGAGTAAGGGACTTTTGCTTCTGCGCCTAACAAAGTTCCAAACACAGCCAATCTGGTAGAATTAGAATTGGCATTTATTATCATTCGGTGTGCTGGGCGGTAGATGTGATTCAAGAAGCGGGCTTAATGCATGTGTTCCGCCAATAACTCACAGCTTACTCAATCAGGTATGCAAAGCCAATTGAAGAACCAACATGGACATATAGAGTAGTGGGACTTCGTTACTCATAGCATGAAAACCTCAACCACCATTCAGTATACCCACGCAACCTGACCAAGCCCCAGCCTCACCATGCCTCACTCAAAGATGGAACATACCTGGAGCCCATTCGCCTAGGAAGGCTTTTTTCTTGGGCCGCTAGTCGTCAGACTACTTGACGTAAGGATCGAGCTTATTTACTCCTGGGACTGTTCAACGTTAATATGCTACGCTCTTTATATATATGACGAAGGTGGTTTCAAACAGGGAAACTAGTCCATACTAGGTTTATGTTTGCAGATGGCATAGGGCGTTAATACTAAGCAGGTTAGTTATCACGTCTCTTAATAATCAAGTAATACGTATTAGGCTTATTAATATAAAGAAGTCTTATTAATAGCTGGTAAGCTAAGTCTATGAGAATGCTAATAAATATAATCTATATACTAGTAAATAATAATAGCAATCAGCGAGGTTATCGCAGAATTAGTGGTAATTATAGTAGATTAACACTGATCATAATAGATCATCTATAATTATAGAGTCTTGGCACTGATCTGTTTTATAGGGCATATATATAATTAGAGGAAAATATAAGATATATATAATATAACCGTTAGGGTTATAATATAATCTCTCCCCTCTGTTAGGCCTTATCCTTAAGGCCTAGTTAATATATTTTCTATTGGTTATCCCCTGGTAAGTCTAATCTTAATCCTATAATCCCCTTAAGATATTTAATTATATAGCAAAAGCTAAGAAAACCTCTACTAATAATCGCCAATCTCTCTATATCCTTATTATAGCATTTAGGAATCCTATTATGCCTTATTCTAATTATATTTATTAGAAAATAAAGAATTTATATATCCTTAATCCTGCAAAATCGAATTATTATAATCTATATATTAAATCTAGGATATCCTGCGATAGTTATAGTCTATCTATGGCAGCTAATATATTTATTTAGTATGAAATTATTTTATAGGTTTACTAATATAATATCAGCTTAAAAGATTATTAATAAGAAGCATTACCTTAAGCATAAGAAAGAGATTACTAAGGATAAACTAATTAATCTTTAGGCAGAATCTACTTATATCTATAATAAAATAAATACTTAGTTTATTAAAATTACTTATTTAAGGTATTAGTATTATATAGTAGAAGTAAAAGGCTTAGATATAATCTAGCAGGGTCTTAGCTTTATAAATAAGTTAGAGAGGGCAGAGTATAATAAGTAGGCTGCTTTAGAAAGTGCTATAGTTAATAGGTCCTTCTAGGACTAGTCTGCTATTACTAAATAGTCTAAGTAAGATTTATTAAATCTTAGTGCCTTTCTTAATTCTTCTAGTTCTAATAAAACTTCTTTAGGAGTTATTAGGCATTAGTAAGATATTTTATTAGTTCCTATATATTTTCGCTTTCTAGGTAATTCTTCTATTTAATTAGGTATATCTTTTATCTGTTGATTTTATTTATTTTCCTAATTGCCTCTGCTTTATATACCTCTGGTCCTATAATTTATCATAGTTCATTGCCGGTTTTAATATATATTATATCGGCGGCTAATTCTAATATTAAAATATAGTAGATTAGGTAATATCTAATATTTAGAGGTAGGTCTAGTTTATATTAATCTTCTCCTGTTTTTTATTTAATCTTAACTGGTCCTAGGTACTTATAGTCTAGTTTATGGCTTAGTTAATCTGTTTTAATGTTTTTAGTAGATAGGTAGACTATATCTCCCTTTGCAAAGGTTAGTCCTTTTAACCTTTTAGGGTTATAGTATCTTTATATCCTTTTTCTAATATGTTCTAACTCAGTTTTAAGTTCTTTATAAATTTCTCTTAGCTTATTGCTTATAATAATAGCTATTAGATTTATATTCTTAGGTTCCTAGGCATTATAATATACATCAGGTATAAATCCGATATTTATATCAAATAGCATAAGTTTTATACTTTTATTATAGGCGGTGTTATAGGCTAACTAGGCGCTTAGTAGCTTCTTAACCTAATTATCTTACTTATAATTAATATAATACTATAAGTATTATTTTAGTACTTAGTTTATTTATTTTATCTAGCTATCTGCCTATAGTCTAAAAGCTATAATAAGTTAGTAGTTGACTCCTATATATGCTATAAGTAATTACTAGAATTTAGAGGCAAATATTAGTCCTCTATCTAATAGAATCTCTCTTAGTAATCCTTATTCTTATACTACCCTATTATAGAAGATATAGGCTATTTCTTCTATATCTATTACCTCTCTATAGGGTAAGTAGATTAAGTATTTTATAAGTCTATCTACTATAACTATAATACTATTATAGAAGATTTTAGTTAAGGGTTCTTTTAATAGCAGTAGTTTAGTTATAAAGTCTATTATAATTAAGCTCTATAGTTGTTCTATAACCTCTATTAGTTATAGTATTCTATAAGGTTTATATTATTATATCTTTATTTTAGTGCAAATATTATATTATTTAATAACCTTTTCTACTACTTCCTTTGTTATTTAGTAACCTTACTATAGCAGTTATTTCTATATTTTAGTAACTCCTTAGTATCTATATAATAGGTCTGCATAGAATTCCTAGATGAACTTCTGTGGTTCTCTTAGGATTTCCTTGGTTTCTTTTATTTATATCTATCCTAATATTTATATTAGTTAGGTAAATTAGTATTCTTCTTTCTAATTCTTCTCTAGGAGTTATTTCTTTGTTTTAGGTGTACTAGTATTATAGTCTAGGCATCTACTAATTATATCTGCTTTTCTATTATCTAATCCTTTTTTATAAATAATTATAAAGTTAAATTCATAAAGGTATTTAATATAGCGTAATTATTATTAGTTAAGCTCTTATATTATAGTAAAGTATAAAATATTCTAATGGTTAGTATAGACTTTAATTTAGTATATACTTCCTATAAAGTAGTATTTAAACTCCTTAAAGCAATTAATAATTACTAGGAACTCCTTATTATAGATAAGGTAATTAAGTTCTAGTCTATATAACTTATATAAGTAGAATGCAATAGGATATAGCTTACCTTAATTATTATATTATCTAATTTATCCTCCTAGTGCAAAGTCTAATAAATTAGTCTTAAGTTCTATTTCCTTATTAAGGTCAAATATAACTAGTATAGGTTTACTAAGGATAGCTTATTATAGTTATTTAAATACTTCTTAGGTATTTTATTTCTATATAAATTTTCTATCTTTCTTTATAAGTTCAGTAAAGGGGTTTGTAATTTTACTAAAGTCTTTAATAAATCATCGGTAATAGTTAGTAAATCCTAAGAAGCTTTATACTTCTTTTATTATTATTAGTAGTAGCTAATCTACTACTACTAAGATTTTCTTTTATTCTATCCTAATTTTACCAGGTATAATAGTATATCTTAAAAAGTTTACTTCTTTTATATAGAAATAACTCTTTTCTAATTTAACTAGTAGATTAGTATCTTATAAGGCTTTTAAGACCTTATAAATATATTCCTTATATTCTTTTTTACTATCTAAGAAGATTAGGATATTATTTAGGTAGTATACTATAAAGATATCT